AAAAAATGAACTTAAATGATTTTAGCATATGGCTGCAATATAACAAAGAGTGAAAAATTTAAGGGGGTCTGAATACTTTCCGTACCCACTGTATGTATTAAACTCTAAGCCTCGAATGATAGTATCCTCATACTGCTGTATATGTGTAACCACGTACAGTATACGCCTTTTGTCTCTCAGGAAAATAACTGTGATAGATCAGCTGTAACTGGCACCCAGCAAAATCATCTAACAGTTTCCACTAACACCTTTTCATACAAGTTGCAATATGAAACGTCTTTTGTTTAAATTGTATACTAGACATTCAAAGGACCAAAACAGGTTTCTGATTTTGCTGGCATTCCATTTTTTGCATTGGGATAGCTAGCAGATGCACTGAACTGTATAACCACAGTGGGAATGATCTAAGCAGGAGGCATGACATACTGTACTGAAATAAATGAGCTACATCATATATACAACCCCTCATGTAACCAGATACAGATTTAAGGAGTGTACAGGCAGTCAAACACCAATGTAGTATTAAATGTTTCTTTCCTTCTGGAAAAGTGGGTAAATATTTTACTTTGAATTGACATAAATTAAATTAACAATGCTCAGATTGCACTGTAACTCCTTAAAATGACGATGTAATTAGTCCTGTGTATTGTAGACTGCCTTGGAACACAGCGTAATACATTAAACTATCAATACTGATAACTTGAGGCTTTATTCACTACAGCGTTAAGTCAGTTAAGTAATTGTTGGCTTAAAATGCAACTGATATTTTATCACTGTTCCTCTGGCGCATTTAATAGAAGCGGTCTAATAAAAACAAATCCAGTAATATGACACACTGACATTTGTGAAAATATAAAAGACCAGCAGCAAATAATTCTTAATCTGTCTAAATCACAATCAAGGTAAGAAAAACAGGCTCTGATGATGATGAAATAAAAATGCAATCCATCAACAAAAACAATTAAGTCTTACAAATTAACCAAAGCAGTCATTAAGATGCATTGGTCACATATTGTTCTATAGAATTATATTAGTATAACCTGAATGCAGCTGCTGTTCTGGAGGACTGCTGATTTTGCCGTAATAGTGTTTGCCTCCAATGTCGACCTCATAGGACCCATTAACTATGTGCTGTGCAAGTGACATTGACTTTTTTTCAAGCATTAATAGAAAATTTCCTTTTGTTATCATGTTTTTTTAAAATGCTCTCATTGTGAAATAAACATATTTGGGTCCTTTAATTATAAGAATGATCAAAAATAAAGCATCATGTAGACAATTTAACAGTGAATTCCTTTATTTGAATACATTTCTTTTTGTCTGATGTATGAACAGAAACATCTTCATCACAAACAGTCCAAAATGATCTGATTCTATTTCAATAAACCACATTATCCCAACTTATTAATACTGCACAAGTGATTATGTTGTGCTACGGAGTATGTCTACAGAACGGCTTTGGCTACATGATCCAACCAAACTGCAGCAGAGTTAAAAATCATCTTGGTGCAGATCAGTTCACAACAGTTCCATTAATCATTCACTTAACCTAGTATCCTCCCTTTGTGCATTTTAAAACCAATATGGCAGCTCGATTTCCCTCAGTGTGCAACTAGGACCTGACCTCAGTGTGCATGTTGGCTGTGGGCTTGTGCTCTGGGACTATCCAGTGTAGTTTATGGTGGTAGTAGTGGTGGGGAGGGGGGGACTCTTCCTGGAGATGTAAAGAGGAGGGACATGGTGTAACTCGGTAATTCCCAGCTGCTGCTACACTGTCGCTCTCTCTGCTGTGCATTGCTGATAGTTTTGGACATGTTCAGCACAGATGATCTCTCTGCTTCCAGGATGATGCCACGAATCTCCAGTAGTGACTCTTTGAGGGTTTTATAAACCTCTGCTGTGACTCTCCACTCAAACATGCAAACAGACAGTGTACAAGTGCTCAGATCTTTTACTTCAGCAATACCACAATAGAAAAATGGTCCTGACCTGGATTTGAAATATTAAAAAGTATTAACATCAACACATGCTCACAGTATTTGAAAGTGATTATGCAGAATTGCCCATTTGAGAATAGTGTATACCATAGTACAGCAATAATAGATGCATTCCTTTAATGTTGCAGCTGGTTAAATGGGGCACACATTAACATGGTGATATACTGCTAAGTAGTCTTTTTCTCCCAGGGCTCAGTAAATACTTATCTTAACCTATAATATATCATGATTTATTTGTTGATTATCATTTGCCCTATTAATCTACAATAACTAGTTATCCAATAAAATGGGTGGATTAAATTGTACAACACCTAGTGCTCGTCCTGGGCTCTGCATTTGTTCCCACTGCCCTCCACCTGCTTTGGAGGAGCTACAGGAGGTAGTACTAAAATCAAGTTTCAGGAACGTGATGGGGAAGGGGGCGTGATTGATTAAATGTCACTATCTTCATGGCACAAGCATTAGCATTACAAGCACGGTGTGTAAACACACACCCGCTGGTTTAGGGGTGACTTCACTTGCTGGTGTACAGATAAAACAAGGACTTCGGTGAGTGGACCGTGGGAATGGATGTCCCCTTTCTGCAAGTTTGCATTCTGTTCTATGAGCTGCTTGATAAACTGCTCATAGTCTCAGGAAAAAAGCCAGTGGATTATACAGTTTATTAGGTTCTGAAAGTGAAAATGCAGCTTTATTGATTACTGAATTAGGAACCCTGCACATGTCAGGTGATTGTTGAGTTTCCTCTCATGTTTAGCACCACAATCTGTAGAGCGACTGAAATGAATACATTAAAATAGACCTGACAGGCACATTCTTTGGCATTGATCACACAGAAAATGTATCAAATCACAGTATATCTAGTTTTGTTCATGAATCCCATGATGAAGTTTTCAGAGCCAGCAAAGATCTGACAAAGCCCCAGGGTTTAATGTGTAATTACTAAGACAGAAGAGACTTTTCAGTGATGTCAGTCAGGAGGCTGATTCCTTATGCTTTGGTGTAACCAGCTGAAAGGGTGGGTGCGCTAACAGCAGTTGGCTGTCCTTTCACTGGGTTCATACGAACTCGCCCAGCATCATGGATGTCTCTGTGTCAGAGCTGCTCGGTACACACATTGACATTAGGTTAAACTTGAACTCTCGCAGTTTCCTGCCCTCTGTCTTGCTTCAGTTCAGGATGCTCTGGAGTCTCTGCGGTGCCTCCTCTGGTCTAAACACTGCAGCGTCCTATAAAGACAAACATTAAGAATGGTTGCAGTATTTTTGAGAAGTTGCTTTTATAACCAGAATGTACAATAAAAATCTCACCAAATGATTCCAGCAGGGATGAAGAGGATTAAGGCAGCAAAAATGAAGGTGAAGCCCTTCATGAAATGGCGGGTAGCTGGGTACAGGGAGTTGAAGACACCACTTCCTGCCAGATAACATAAGCTCTCCACACAGGCAACGGCAGCAAACAGGGCACCTGGGAGAAAATACACACAACCTGATGTATACAACCTGCAGGACACAAGCTGTCCCCAATTATTGTTCAGGGACTCATTCCACCACAATACAGCTGACACACTGAGCACTGTGTTTTCCAGGTGTGTCCTAAAAGGTTTTGGTACAATTACCCTGTTTCACTGTGATGTCAGCAAGTAAAAGGTGCAATTCTGGGATTCTTTTTAGGGGCCTCGCTGGCAACATGACAGCAGTAAGACCCAACTTGGGCTCAAGTGCAGAATCAAAGAAGCATTTTATTATAAGGCCAGTGGAGTTAGTGTTATCTTCAGTATGAGATCCCTTAAATAAACTATACAATTTCAAACTGCAGTCTGTACATTGTATATTTTTAAATACTATTGTCACATCTTTAAATTGTTGCAGTGTGCTGTGTTAAAAACAGTCTGTTTCATACACGTAGTATTTGTACATGACCAGTGACTGACCTTGCTCTGATGGGTCCACCAGCTTGGACAGCTTTGACCTGATCACAGGCGTTACAGCCATGAGGAGGAAAGACAGACCATAACCTGGTGACAGACAGGTAAACTGTTCAGTATCACTGAAATACACAGGAGTCTGTCTATAAAACAACATTATTACATTTCAGTGAAATGCCATTAAATGAGTATCTTGTGTAGTTGGTCAAATATGTCATTACACCCTAAATGCCAAATTTGCTTATATAAATAATGATGTCTGTGCTCATTAGTAGAATAATTAGACTTTTAAGTCATCTCACTTGTATTGTCTCCACTTTCCTTTTATTTGTGAATTACAAAAAACTTTGACAGAAACAAAAGATATATTTTCAACCACCCAAATAATATGAAGAACAAGGCTATTTACCAAACTTCTAGAGGTGACTAACTCACTCCAGTTTCTCTCACCTGTGAACATGAGCTGGGTGGTGTCAGCTACAGAGAAGACCACCAGCCCGATGAAGTTGGAGGCCAGAGCCACAAGAGCCACCCAGGAGTCCTCTAGGCAGTACTGCATGACCCTCAGTCCCAACAGACTGCTCAGGTAGGACAAGTGCTGAGCTGCTGATCCATATCCAATGAGGGTGGGGCCCCAGCACAGCGGCGAGCTTAGCTCATACAGCACAAACAGCTCCCTGCTGCCGGAGTGCACAGCCACCACCAGAAAGAAGCACAGCGTGTAAAGCCACAGCTTGCATCTGTGAAATCTCCCACTGTCCTCGCTGCTGCTGCTGCCTCCTGTTGAGTAGAGGTGCCAGATGGCCTTATGATGACGAGTGGTGAAGAGCTTTGCACTTGGGTCTGGCAGGACAGACTCACGAACAAACAGGTATGCGTACAGAGCTGAAGCCAAGTTGGTGGCCAGGACCAGCCAGAAGGGGTTGATATATCTGGTAAAGGCATAACTATTAATAATGACTTAAAATTCAGATGCAAGTTGATTTTGGACTGAAGTGAATGAGGCATCTTATAGGCACTGTGACTGGGCAACAGTACACATCTCTTACCCTTGTGCCTGCCGCCACTGCCCTCCGATTATGCTGGCAAGCATTCCTGAAAGTCCCAGACAGGCCTCTAGCACTGCCATCTTGAAGGTGCGGGACCTTCTGTTGCTGGTATCTGCCATGTATGCAAAGCAGCCTGCAAGGATAGTGTTAAAATCACCTGAAAGGCCACTGAGCAGCCTGCCTACTAGAAAGTAGACCACAGGCAGCTTCAGATACATCACCACTAGGTAAACCCCTGCTTGCAGGGCCAGGCCAAGGTTGGGGAGAATGAGAACTGGCCTGCGACCTGCGAGGTCACTCCATGAGCCCAGGAAAGGCACCATGAACAGGCCTAAAGAGAAACCCCACAGGTTGATGTACAGGTTCCAGTGGGCTGTTAAGGTTTCCACCTCCTGAAAAAACAAGAACCAAATGTGACCTGGTCAAACACACTGTGTCAGATAACAGGGTGTAGTTGGATACTTTTGAGTTGCATGTATATGATACATTAGACATCACTAAAGTCATCTTTGTAAGGACATATTGTAGCGTGCTGGGGGAGCGCCACAGACAAGAACAAATCACATATGGACTGATACACGCCCAGAGAGCGAGGCCTGTTGGCGGGTGTTCTTGGGGGAGGAAACTTTTGGGTCATAGTGCCAGTGGATGAGTTATTTTGGGGGGAAACTGTGTGTATATAAGTTCTGATGTTCAGTGTTGTGTTCTGTAATAAAAGCAGAAGTTATCTGGGCTCCTGTGGTGTATGGGGCATGGAAGCCTGACTCCACTGTCATTCCTTGACAGAATCCACTAGCTTGCCACAATATTATTATTAATAGTAATATTTTCTATTATGTTTCTTTGCCATTATATGTAATGTGTACTTCCATGTTACGATTTAATCCATTACAAGTAACTAATAATAATGTAACACTGAGTGACTTACTGTTGTGAAAGGGATTAGGACATTTAAGCCTGTTTAAAACCAAATATCCAGATGTGCAGAAAGGAGGAGAAGAAGAAGGAGGAGGAGGAGGCGAAGAAGAAATAATACAATCCCGCTGTTTAGTTTCCATCCAGACAGCGGTACAGCAGGTCTAGCTCACAACTCCTATAGTCACACTTATCAAACCTGGACCTCATTAACACATAGACTCCAGTTCCTGTTTAAAACTGTGCTGGCTGCACTGGGAGACATTTTGCAGTGTAATTACGAGGGTAAAAGACGTCGACTACCTTTTGAAGAGGGTCCAGGGGTACGGAGCTGTTGCTGCACTCCGACCTCTTGGAGCCGTTATAGCCGAGATCTTCACTGATGCGGTCCCACAAATACTGAGTGACCAGCGGTGCCTGCAGGGCCAGAGAGAACATGGAGAGGAACATCACCGGCTCCACCGCCACCGGCAGCGGGCACGTAAACGGTGGTCGAACGGAGCGGGTGGTGGATACATCGTTAACAGCCTCCTCTTGGTGGCCGAATGAGTCGTCGTTCGACAGCGGGTCGTCAGCTGATGTGGCGTTGAGAACATCTCCGGGAATGATTGGTGCGATGTCCGACTCGTCCATGTCGCAATAGGTCAGGATAACTGTGTATACATTATAAACGTTAACACAGTTACACTGGTATTTACAGCACGACACGGGAGAAACAAGCTAACTTGCTGCCTAATCAGCTTTTAACTAACGCCAAACTCGTTATGTGAGACTAGCCGAAAAGCTAACTTGCTAGCTAAGCACCCACGCGCTGATTTGTTGACGCTGCTGTTTCTGTTTTGGTAGATAAAATGATAAATGAACTCCTTTTCTAGGTCACCAGCTCAGCTAAAAGAAGGAAACAATACTGGCGCACATTAACGTGTGGACGGACTCAGCGCCCCCATCTGGACCAAGAGGGGAACTACACTCTAGTTTTGTGTCTTTATTGGTTTGTTTTTTTTTGGCTGAGACTGGGCAGGTATAGCTACTGTACATCAACGCTGCTACAAAGTACAAACCATGGGCATAGCCAAGATTTTAGAAATACCGAGTCCCACAGGGGGAAAAACCCCAGCACACACACAAAACAACGTTTAAAACAACTAAGGGTATCTATATGATTTAATGTTATTACATTACATTAATTTATACATACAGTACTGTGAAGTCAGCTGCCAAAAGTTAAGGATGCTTTAAAATAATAATGCCATGAAACTAATATTACTAAAATTTCATCAGAAACTTAAATTAAATTAAATTAAATATTAATATACAATAAAACATACACTAAAATCATATTATGACTGCTGCTACTATTTTAGCAAGTTATACTTAGCTGCAACAACTAATCTTAAAATCCAAGGGAAGTGTGATTATTAGGAGTAAGCAGTGCAAAGGTCTCAGCTGCTATAAAAATCATGTGTGCATGACACAGCAGGGAAGTTTCAACCTGTCATTTGAACAGAGCATATAAAGAGCTGATTTTGATATATTTAGAAATTAACACAAAATCAGAAGCAACATGAATAAAACATCAACCTTTACTCAGGAAGATGTGTATTTCTATAATATACATTGTTTTCCAATACATAGTAACATGCAGTTTACTGGGGATGTTGTATTAATTCAGGTTCACCTTGAAACTGACTATACTTGGTATTTTTAATAAAATGAAAACCTATTTCTGCCCTTGATTGTGTTTTTAGAATTCATTTTCTAAGCCACAAGCTATATTTGAAATAACAAAGAGAGGGATGGTTACAATAGTACTACATCCAAATCTGTAGCCAAAATTTGTGAGACAACTGCAGCGAAATGAAAGAGATAACCTTTGATCATCAAAACAGATAAAAGGAGTTTATCTGGAGGAAGGTTTATAGCTTTACATTGCCTTCCTTGCTCTAGCATGTCCAGGAAGGGCCTCTGTCAGTGACCCTGAACACTGTGTAATCTCTGACCACAATAAATTGAAAGGTAGGATCATGTTCAGGGGCTCAGTCAGTTTCAATAAATCAGAGACCACAATCTCTGTTTTTTATTCAGCTCATCATAGCTCATGTCAGTTTGAATGAAGATGTTATGCTTCTTATCCAACTGTTTCCTTTATTTAGAGCACAGTGCAAAAGACAAAAATAATTACTAATACACTTACAAATACTACCTCATGTAACAATGTTCATGAATATACAGTAAATAGAACATGCAGCAACAGAAGTGATTATATCAATACATTTTTTTTTTAAAGCATAATGTCTTTTGCTTGGACTTTCTTTAAAGCTACAAATCAAGCAGCGGTTTTTTTTGGTGTTCACCCATACCCATTATAGGACATTAGTGCAGAAGGAGACTCACTATAATTCCCAACACGTTTCAGAAATATATATATACAGTATATGTGTCTGAAATTGATGGATGGTGGTGTACAGGATCAAATTAACTGAATCAACGGCATCTACTACTTTTATCCTAAAAGTACTGGGCACCTACGTAAGACAGACTTTGCTCTGTGTACTTTGTTCACAAATTTTCATTGGTGTCATCCAGTGAGTTCAGGGAAAAAGTTGGGATGTTACACCCTGTCCATCTACAGAGCTTCAAATCAAATGTATTGTATTTGGTTACTGCAGCACAAAATAGTAATTCACTACAATAAAATAGCAACTGTGCACAATTGTAACCACTTTCAAATAAACCACATCAGTAAATTATGTTTCAAAAATTTTATTTATACAATTCATGTTTAGAAGTGTACAACAAGGCAATAACATTTTGAAGTTAATTTGATGAGTTCAGTAAAGGTCAGTTGTAAATGGCTCCACTGGTAAGGAAGACACGTTATATGTCACTTTGTAGTGATCAGCACTCAAGGTTTAAGGTTTTGAAGACATTCACTGTTGTTGAAACCCTAACAAGTTGTTGCTGCAACTGAACCTTTTACATTAAAACCAATAATTTATGAGGCTATGCAATCTTTATGTCAAAGAGAAGAGTGTGGCCATCTTACAGCGTAGTACATTAATTATTAGATGTATAGACATTTACATCACAGTATCTTCCTCATCCCATTTAGCTTTCCTCATTAAAAGATATCTGATGTCAAAGTGTAAGAAAAAAGCTAAAAATGAAAAATGGCTCATAAGAAAAAATATCAAAATTTTACAAACATGTTAAATGTTAATTAGTTTTAATTGCTAGAGTTTCAGTTTTCTGATGGTCATAGTGATGATAGGTGAATGATGACAGTTGGCAAAGCTCAAAGAAGGTTGCTGGAGAAGGTTTAAGGTGGAGCAGGTTGGAGCTACAGTTAACTACCCGATCTGCAGGCGGAAGTGGAGCCTGCAGAGTGCTGGCAGAGGCTGTACGTGGAGAGTGGGGCTCTAGCTGTCTGTCAGAATCTGCAGGTAGGGACGGAGCTTGCAGGGTGCTAGGAGCTGTAGGTGGAGTCTGAAGCTGCTGCTGCTGTCTGCCAGAATCGGCAGGGTGCTGGTGGAGGATGGCTGCAGGTGGATGTCAAGCCTGCAGTGCGCTGGTAGAGACTGCAGGCAGAGGCCAGGGCTGCAGCTGTTGACCAGAGGCTGCAGGCATGAGGCAGAGTCAGCAGGGTGATGGCAGAGCCTTGAGGCGGATGTTGGGGCTGCAGCTGTCTGTCAGACTCTGCAGGTGGACGAGGAGCCTGCAGGGTGATGGCAGATGCTGGGGCTGCAGGTGGCAGCGGAGTTTGCAGGGTGCTGACAGAGGATGGAGGCAGGGACTGGGGCTGCAGCTGTCAGCCAGAACCTGCAAGTGGAGGCGAAGCCTACAGGATGCTGGCAGAGGATGCAGGTGGAGGTTGGCACTGCAGCTGCCGGCCCGACCCTACAGGTGGAGGCGGCGCCTGCAGGGTGCTGGTAGAGACTGCAAGTGGAGGCTGGAGCTGCAGTTGTTGGCCAGACCCTGCAGGTGGAGGTGGAGCCTGCTGGGTGCTGACAGAGGATGCAGGCGGGGATTGGGGCTACAGCTGTAGGCCAGACTCTGCAGGTGGAGGCGGAGCCTGCAGAGCACTGGCAGAAGCTGCAGGTGCAGGTGGTGCATGCAGCAGAGAGATGTTTATTAAATGAATACTTATGTGCTGCTGAGTGTCTGAAGGTGATGGTCGGCAGAGATAGTAGCAGAGGGGTTAAACGTGCCTGGCAGAGGATTAACATGGCAGTATAGAGTGGCTGTAGGTGGAGGGTGGAACTTAGTTGATCTGGTTTGGATTAAAGCTGTGGTGATATAAAAACAAAGGTGAGTTAATGTTGCTTTGTGTTGTGATTTGTTTCTGTGATTTCAATCTACAGTATTATTTAGAGATTCTGTCTTTTGTAGTTCTCATAAAATCTCCTGTTTTAATTGTGTTTCTTAGTTTTCTTGATTGGTGGCTTTTCAGGCTCTGGTTCTCCCGAGGTGTCTACATCATGCAGGGGAAGATAGACTCCAACATCATATGACACGTCCACATCCACCAGTCCGTCTTCACTGGCCAATGTTGTGATCAGGGGACCATTCAGTCGCTGCCACAGCTTCTGCTTGATCCGATGCCCGAGCTCCAAAGTGTATGGACGAGCCCTGCCATCCTTGTACCTGTGAGGAGCAAAAATAGAATTAAATCTGAACAATACATGACTAAAAAGTGTTTTTTATGGAAAAGCTGAGAGACAGATTTTTATGCAACTGGAAAGGTGTGATGTGACTTTTGACACACACACACTTCAGTATGTCATCAACCACTTCATGGTAGATCTGCTGGCACTCTTGCACTGAGTGGTTGTGGATCCTCACAAGGCTGTCCTCTCGCAGGGGAGGGCTGGGGACTGGGGGCCACAGTGGAGACCACTGGCAGGTCCTCTGGTGGGATGGCAGACTGAGGGATCGGCCATCGATTGGAAGGATGGGCCACTGAGGTCCGCTTCCTCTTCTGGGAAGCGGTGAGTAGATGGAACCTGGTAGTGCTTTGTTGTAAATTCAGCAACACATGAGCAAGAACATCAGGCTTCAGTGAACTTATTACTTTATAACAAACCTCTACAATCTCACAAGAGAAAATCGACCTCAGATATACTGCAGATGACTACTTTGTCAAAGTAAAGGCACCTTCACAGATTCTGTCATACAGGATTTTAGAGCTACAGCCTTTACTTTATTTTACACCTGGCTACAAAAAGAATTTCATTTGAAGGACAGTAAAAATGAACTAGACAGTCTAGAGTGTCTCAACATGTTCAGTGTTGACAGCAAAGTCTGCTATGCATTTTCCATGTTGTAAAGAAGCCTAGTCCTTGCAGGTTACACAGTGAACAATCTGTTTCATAAACCCAAGATAAAACATGCACATTTCACCTGGTTGTCCCTGCAGCACTGTCTATAGGGTCCAGGTGTCCTTGCAAGGCGGGGAGAGATTCGCCTTCGGTGTCGCAGGCGCATGGGCATGTCACGCTGTAACAATACACACATGTTCGAATGAGACTTTGCATGTACATGTTGTTGGGTAAAATTATTAACAAAGTTATACTCTAGGATTGGTTCTAACATTTGATTGAATTAAGTACTTATTTAGTAGAAGACTGACCACATGATTGTTGCTTATTTAACCTGTGTATTCACTTTGTTTGTGTATGACTATTCTATCCTATTAGAAAAGGAATAGTTAAGATTATATTTCAGAATACATAAGTTCACATACTTGCATGTCACAGATATGTTTATGAAGTTACTATTCACCACATTATATGTTCACTAACATGATGAGAAAATAAGTTACTGTATGCACACTGAAAAACTGTGTGATATTACAGGCCCATGAGATTAAAAGTGTGGTGCACTGAGTAGCTTTCCAAGGTCTCATCATCCCACAGGATTCCATTAGATTTGTTGTCTTTTCTCCACAAGAGCTTCACACACACACAGGCAGTGCTAGGTTTTCCTCCCTCTCTAGGAAAAATCTCTTTCCTCAGGTGGAGCAGGGAGGACCTTGGGAAATGGACGGACTGAGGGACCAACGAAACAGCACGAGTGGCATCAGATCAACCTACTTTGCACACAGTGACGTGTGGTGTGGTTGACAGCTGGTGAGGCACTGACTCCTTTACAGTCAGATTTACAAATACAAATGAACCGTTAAATGGTCTGTTAACAGACAATGCGTTATGTTTTATAACTCATATCAGCATTCTTCACACAAACGTGACCCTTATTTAATTTGAGGTTAAAATTTATTCCAATTGAGCTTATTTCTAACTAGAAATAATAAAAGTTTATGGTCTTACCTTTACTTGTACACGAAATCCATTTGTCAGCTGGTATGTATTACAAACCCTTTTACCGTTCGAATCCAATATTAAAACAAATGTTTTCAATAAAGAAGATCCTTCTGGACAAAAATGTCCAGACTGTCAAAAATGTTTTGATTGAAAGTCCAGATTTGC